AAGTAATGCAAAGAAGTTTTTACTAAGAAGGCCCCATTTCCATAAAATCACCATGCTTTTATAAGCCAAATCTATTCTATTTGCTTCAATTTTTTCAGGCTAAGCTAAAAGTTCATTTAAATGGATAATTATGTCTTCAAATTGAACTAGCAGATACAAATTTGTAGCATCAGTAAAGCACAAATCAAGGCCAAGACAATACCATTGATAACATTTACAGTACTGGATGGAACAGCAAGCCAGGAACACAAGCACAAACTTCACTGTTCCTACAGCAGTCGTTATAAACTGCTATGCAAGAAAACATTATGCAACCTGTGAGCGTTCAGTAATTCTTGTTTAAAAACAGTAACTGAAAATACTAAGAAAATTCAAAGAATATTCTTAAATCTCTGGAGTACAGATGGACCAATCATATAGCACCCCCTGGCAGACACTTCTTACAGTCAACCGAAAGAACCAAACAGGAGAATTTTCTTCATTTTATCTTTGTATTTCATATTAAAGGAAGATGCAACTATTGGAGGGAAGAGAACTACAAAGGGATATACTAGGATATACTAGCAAACTAGTTAACCCACAGGAATTACAATGACCAGTAAGGAATTTTGTTGAGCACTAACCAAAACAAGTGGCACAATTGAAGATGGATGAACCTAAATTTCATTTTAACAAAGCTATTTTAAATGACAAATTAACACCATTTATGCTTCTGTTGAGACTAAAGACTGCTGGTACTACCTCCCATGTATGCCACACATTGACAGGCAGCAGTAAAAAAGAGAAAACAACAACAAACCATCCAGCAACAAAAGCATACGAAAGAATTCACCTCGCTTTCACAAAGCAATCTGTATACAAATTTAATCTTCATAATGTTCATGGCAAAAACTCAGGGTAAACTCTTGCTGGGCATATCAGTTCTTACTGCTTCCTGGAAGAGATCCCTTTTTCTCCATCAGACAGTAAATTCACAAGCTACCGAGTAAAATCCCCCAAATCCCTGAGTTTCTCTCCTGATCCCTTTCATTCTCATCCTAAAAGCAAAGAACTAAAACACAGTCTAAGCCACTGCCCTGAGCAAGTCACTGAGCTCAGTCCCAGAAACATGGGAAACACTTTTCTTACTTGAATAACAGTGAAGCAGAGGAAAGAATAAGGAAGTGCAAGGAAGGCTGGATGAGAGACAGGCCAAACTGATGGACAGGAAGATACAGGATGTCACGAGAAGTATGGCAATCCGCATGACATCTAGAAACAGCTCTTTCATTAAAGAAATAGAGCAGTCATAGCATAAATGAGAATATCTCTGCATACACAAAATAAAAATCACTATTCTGGTTAAAAAAATCAGAAAATGAAGTGGGAGTAAATGGCCTGTTACAAGTGAAATGCCAAACCAACACATATAGCACCTACTCTATACAAAATAATGATGTGATTTTACTGATGGTACTAAGTTATTCAAGGTAATGAAGCCAAGGACTGGATAGAAGAACAGAAAGTTCAAAGTCCATGACTTGACAATAAAACAACAGATTTTATTCAGCAGGTATCAAAATAATGAAAAAGAAGTAGTTCTTCAAATAACCCATAGTTGAGCTGCAATTGTTTTTGCAGATGCTAGAAATTAATATGGACTCCAGAGAAAAGGACAATTTATTGGCACAAAATACCACTGATCATTTCCATGTACCAATACTGACCCAGGATTTAGATTCTAGGACAGCAAATGAGGCAAGAAAAAGGAGGTACATATTTGCTCTATTCTTTTCTTCTTTCTTAAGCACCACTTTTGGCTAGTCTTGGATTTCAGTTATTGAGCGAGGCGCTCCTGTTTGTATGTAATACAGCTTAATGAAGTGCTTAGGGTCCCTCTCATCTCACTAGAGTTAGAGGTACAAGCACGCTGCATGAGTTACCATCCTTCTCCTTCTCTTTAAAGACTTATAAATATTTAAACAGCCCTATGTTAAGTCAAGTAAGACAGTACTCAGCAGCACTAGCTGTGCAGTAATTTGGTGTTTTGGCAACAAATATTTGATTAAGTCAGCCATAGCTTCAGATATTAACACCAGTGATTTAACAGAACTCCTTGGTGTTATTTCAGTCAGATTTCCTATGAAGTGCCATAACTACTGTGTATACAAATAAGATGTCTTAAAGCTGTTAACCTTAATCTCCAGTTTGATGACAGTCAGGTCCTCAGCTTTCTGAGCTGCTGAAAAATTAACTCCTCCTTTGAATTCCAACTGTATATCTACCTTCACACTATATACAAAGTTTACATGTTCATACCCAGCCAGGGCTGATGGCACCAGCCATCAAAAACACCTAATTATAAGGCGCTCTCTTATACCACATTATCTTTGCCAAAACACCTGCTTTTCACCTACTGTAGGCTGAAATTAAAAACTGAGATAAAAGTGGCTCAGTTACTACTATTAGTAGTTACTATTTAGTATTACTAGTGCAGGCAGAGATATTGACAGTTGAAGCTGTATCTAACATTTATGTTGCTGATTTAGAATAAAGTATACTTTCTACATCTACAAGAAGCTACCTGATACAGTAAGTTAGTTTCTAAACAGTAATTACAGTGTTAGCACTGCTTTCAAATCAGTCTCTCTTACATAGGGTAACAAAGTGTAAACGTAACATAGTACAGGCTCTACTATAGGCAAGAATTAATGATTTCAGCCTTCTAGCAGTCTGTAGGCAATGCAATGTCACATTTCAATAAAAACAAGAAACAAAAAACCAGTCACTACACTGGAAGCCAGCAGATTTCTACAAAGAGAAGAAATACCATTTCCTCACACGCTTGGCAAATCAAGGAAGCGGAAGCAGGTGAGCCTTGACATAACCTTGATGTAATTCAACAAGGAACATGGTTTAAAACTTCATTTCAGTTTGGTGCCCAAATACTTTGATAGTTATCAGAGAATTATGGAGTGTGAACACAAAGCTGATCATTGTAACTGATCATACAGACAGCTCCATCACTGCAAAACGAACCACACAATCCCACAGAATTACAGCACATAGAACATTTCTCTTGCCATCTCAGGTCCAGGAAAAGGGAAAGAGAGAGAATAATGTGCCTTCAAGAATATTTTTTCCATGTGCAGCACAAAGAAGCCAAAACATGTGCACCTAGTTCTTGTTGTTAATACCTGTTTCACATTTCCCAAGTCTAAGGCTTGGGTTAAGGTTTGTGTGTGTGCTTTTTGTTGCTACTGTTAGTAAGTTAACCTGATGTTTAGTAATTATTTTAGTACTGCATTTTCCAGAGCTACTCAACAATCAAATTATTTCCAGTTAATTTCCCTTGGATTCTCCATGAAAACTCTACCAGAGCAGTTGTAGCAAGTATAATCAAAAACTATGATTATTCAGTAAAATCAAGTGTACTAAAATACTAGGGAAAAGGATAATTTTTAAGTTGCTCAGGCAGTATATATAAACCTGGCTGGAAGTGGGGTGTATGTCTGGGTTGGGGAGGAAGAGGCAGTTGGCAACTTAAATACCAATATTTAATACTTTTTAAATTGATGTTGCAACAGGAAATGGCATTTCTGCATTGGCTTTACAACAGAATAATTTAAGAATTCCAGTAATTGTTTTAAAGGGAATTGTTCTGCTAAATAGATGAATGCTGAGAGTGCTGAGGAGATAAATTACTAATGTACAATACATAAGCTGAGATTATTCTTCTGATGCTTCTCCAATATAAACACAGTCTGTACTAGGTAAAGCAAAACAGCAATGGCCATCCTTATTTTCAAGCTGTAACACGTGGATTTTCTCTAAGGTACATTTTACTGACTACAAGAACATTTGTCAATTAATGTCCGTATCTAATCTATTCTGCTCAACTGAGCCCAAAGGTTGTTCTGCAAATGCTGTTCTGGACAGAAAATGGATGGAGCAGCACTTTCAGTCATGTCAGACTGAAAAAATCAAAACTTTCTGCTCAACATGAATATGTATGAAAATTGGCATGATCTAGTATAACACTGCTACTCTTTCAGGAGTTACTTCTGAGCACTGAGTGCCAGCAACTTTGGAACACAAATTCTGGGTGTTTATCTACATTTAGAACTGCATACAACAGCAGATGTAGATTTCAATTTCTCATTTAGAGACAACTTACATATTTTATGCAGTGATGTTTATTTTGTGAAATAAAGAAACACTGTATAATCTTTTGTCTTCTTGGTAATGAGCTCTGACTTTTTACCTGAACGACTTCAACAGGAAATACAGGGCATGCTCTCACCTACAGCGACCTGCAGACTAATTGTAATGGCACTTTCCAATAAGGTGGGGACTGAGAAGTCCATGAGTATTTGCACTAATTTTCAGTCTTGTCTGTAGAAGGTTTAACAATCACTTGATTAATTTTAAGAAGGTTTTTCTAAGAGATCTGGTAGCTCTAAGGATACAGTATATTTTGACTCTGTGTGCTAGACTGGATTATTCCACCATGTTAGATGAAACAAAGCCCTTGCTAAGTTGTTTTATTTGACTGTTTCTTTGTTAAAAAACAAACAAACAAACAAAACCCAGCCTGCTTATATTATGATGGATGGAATTATAGAACCTACTAGTCAAGTCAGCACCTACTGAATTCAGACACATGGCTAGTTGGTGTTTTTTGGATCCAAAAAACGATCACAACTTGAAAGAGGATCACAACTAGAGTCTGCATTTTGGTTTAAAAAAAATAATAATAATTAAAAGTCCTTCATTGGATTTAATCCTAGAATTACAAACGCACTTTAATTAGATGTTGCTAAAATGCAGCTAAAGTAACAGTTTCTTAATTTTTACTATTTTGATACTTAATAGAAAATTATTAAACTTAATCATCCTTATATATCATAATATCATATGCTAGTTGAACATTAAGAAAAGTGATGTACACCTCAGAATATGAGGCGCTGTTTTAAATTATTCTGTCCTGTTCTTCCTACTCACACCACCAGATTACTCACTTGTAGCCATGATACCTGGAGGACATGCTGGTATCCCGTGATCAACTGCCCATCTGAAAGCTCCTTCACCAACTAAAAAGCTAGGAGACACAGAAGAGGGAGTTTAAATAAAACCATATAACAAATCCCCCTTTTCTTGCAATTAGTTTTTTCTCTTTGGTTTGGTCATTTTAAAACTACACTGTCTGCATTTCACAGAAGCGTCAGCTGTAATTACAGTTGGCAACCTTATTTGGTTTCATTAAAACACTACACAGCTCCGACATTAAGTTTACTATTGAATAAAAACATGTGCTATTAAATTTGAAACAAATTACCAAATTGCATCAGCTCTTAACTGCAGCTAAAACAGCACGAAGTCATCCAGAGTCTTATAACAACTAAATAAGATTCTGAAGACTAACAACACGGGGATGAATGAAGTGAGAATGGCAAGACATTTCTAATGAAGTTAGAGTGAAGTCAGTCATTAGCCAATGCCACAGGAATATCAAGAATTACTTTGAGAGACATGACAAACTAAAAATAAGCTTAATTTAGATTCAGAAATAAAAGTCTATCTCGTGGTGTTTTATTAAGCATTTCCAAATGAGACAACTCCACTGAGTATTTAACATACTTGTGGAAGAAAGAAACAAATTTGAAAAGTCATTCTGTAGTCAGTACTGAATATTTTACAGCAGTGAGACACTATACACTGCTGTGACAGTGAATGGTGGCAAAAGTTACAGACATGTAGCTTTTAGGAAAAAAGAAATGCCTCAATTATTTATACCATTTCCCTTTACATAAATTAATCTGATTCCCCGAAAAATTGAATGTGGTTGGAAATCACATGTTTTCAGAAAGTTGAAAAACAGCAACAGCAGTAACAACAAAATAAAGAACAACTATTTCTAACCTCTACTTCCTACCTCCCTTTTGAAACAAGAATACCATAACTGCATAATGGATGCAAGAAGAAAAGACTGAGGACACAGAGTAATTTCAAAATGCTTTAGAGGAACACCTGATTTATGAATGTGAGACTCAAAGTTATGTAAGCTGCACAGAAGTCTCTTGGGCCACATAATGCTATCAATTCCTAGAACAGTGCTGTTATAGAAAACTTGTTGGCATTATTCCTGTTGCAAGTTTTCTTGATAGCATTGTATCTGACATTTGCAGCTTTTAATATGTAGTATTTTGCAGCACTATTTTCCATCTTCCCTATGACATAACCACCATAAGAGATGTTTTCAGTCTTTGATTAAAGAAGTTTCAAAAAAAAAAAAAAAAAAGTTTATCTAGATAAGAATTTGAATTGTTAAGCACATACTTCTTACTACTGTTAGCACAGCTCCAGAAGAATATTTTTCATGCTGCAAGATACTGTAGAGCAAGTTACTGGGTACTTGGAGAATGTCTCCTTTTAAATAAGGTAATTATCCAGAAACAACCTCTTACTCACATTAGCATCCAAGAGAAACACCAGTTGTAGCCAAACTGACTAGTAGTCTCCATTGATTAAAAAAAGTTTTCCATCAACTATACACTCTCAAGACGTGAACAAGTGCTTCCTGTCCAATAAAGTAATTTACACAGAGCAGAAGTGTAGGCGGAAAAAAGGAGAATCACAGAATCCTTGGAATTGGAAGGGACCTTTAAAGCTCATCTAGTCCAACTCCCCTGCAACGAACAGGGACACCACAGCTAGATCAGGTTGCCCAGGGCACAATCCAGCCTTTCCTTGAAAGTTTCCATGGATGGGGCATCAACCACAACACTAGGTAACCTGTTCCTGTGCCTCACCACCCTCACCGTAAAAGATCCTTTCCTTATATCCAACCTAAATCTACTCTCTTGTAGGTTGAAGCCATTTCCCCTTGTTCTGTTACCACAGACCATGCTGATGAGTCTGTCCCCTCCTTTCCTGTAGCTCCCTAGATACTGAAAGGCCGTTCTCAGGTCACCTTGGACCCTTTTCCAGGCTGAACAGCCCCAGCTCTTTCAGTCTGTCCTTGTAGTAGAGGTGTTATCCCTTGGTTCATTTTTGGGGCCCTCCTCAGGATGTGCTCCAGTACTACAATCAGATATTATGGGTCTAATATATGATAACTTAAATAGTACAGATCATTCAGAAACCTTTCATTTTCCTGATACTTCACAATTGCTTGTTTTACACTCAGAGATACAAAAATAGTCACAAGTATTCAGAGTACAAAAAGAAGCACCCCAGAATGTTGAAGATGAACCAACATTTAAGTAACGTGACTCTTACTCTGCTCACACTTGTGTTCATAATTCCCAGATTCATTTCCCTCATACAAGGTGGACACAAAATACTTTCCAGTTCTGGTCCCAATGAATAGCTAGATTAGTGAAGCAAACCCTTGCTGATATCTAACTGAGGCCTCATTTCACCACCCACCCTTTTTTTTTTAAATTTTATTTTAATCATTCAATTTCAGATGTCTTGAAAATACAACATAATCACAAGAGAGTTAGAATAATAAAAAGATCAAGACCTCAGTAGTCATTACCTGTACCACCTGTACGCTATCCTCCAAACTGATAGAGACATTTGGTAAGAGAACCCTATGGGACATACGGTGTGAACTCAGATCCGCCAAGTAGCCAAGTATTTATAATCAGAACAAGATTAAGCAATCTTTGCATCACCCCAACAGGCAATACAAACAACTGTAACAGACAGATGGTAGGATGGTGAGAGGGTGGGAACCAGCAGTCGTGCACTGCGGAACTACTGCAGGTCCATGGAAAACGTCCATGTACTCACGGAGGAGAGCTGCAGCAGGCAAGAATGAACGGGTAATACTCACAGCTGGCATAAAAATAAAACATAACCTTAACAGCTACCACCAAGCATGATTAGCTGGGGGAGAGGGAAAAATCGAGAATAAATTCAGTGGGCTATACAGAGCAGCCAAAGCCCCACCAAGTCTCAAAAGCCTTTAGGCTAGTTCCAAATACAATTTTCTAAGGAAAAAACAAGTAAACAAACAAACAAAGAGATGAATGGCTTTGCTGCTCTGAAAGTTGGTTCTATGCAAACAAGATAAAAGTTCATTTGATACATCTGTAAGAAAGATGACTACTCTGTAGTTGTTACAAGCTCAAAACACAAAGAAGTTGAAAAAGTCTTCCCCAGCAAGAAGGTGATGTTCAGATGTGCTTTCCAAATACAGGAAAATCAGCGCACATTAATTGAAAATAGAAAATTACTCTAAAAATGGCCCTTCTAGGCAAGTTTTCACAAGAACATGGTTATCCTGATGCCTGTTTGATGTAAAAAGCAGCCCTTAGTATGGGCTGTATGGAGATGAGCTGAATAGAAGCAACAGTAGAAGGTTAGGTTCACTAATGATGACCAAGGTGATCCTTAATTTAGCAAACTCATTTTGTAATGCTTATTATAAAATGCAGCTATCACTCTGAAATCACTCTTACATAGGAGAATTTATTCTGCTGAAATACAGATCAGAGATCAAAGTTGGCACAAGTCTTCAACCCTGGCACCTTCTTGACTATGCTCCATCCTGCAAGTTACCCAACACGCATATCCCATCTGTGGCACTGCATGTGACAAGAATAAAACGATTGCAAAACCCTGAAATAACCAAAGGGGGAGAACATACAAACATGGGATTCTTTCTCATAAAGATTAATATTAATACTGAAAAAGGGACACTAACATGAACTTGAAATCAATAGTATCAAGGAGATCTAAAAAAGTAAGGAGATGTTTAGGTTTATTTGTACTATCTTGCAATTTTTACATACCTAAAGTTACGAGCAAGCAGTTCTAAATAAGCTTTTCTGCCTTTAAGAAACATATGAAATAGAAAAAAACTTTAAAGCTTTTCTAGAAAGCAACTTATCCATTATTCTGTGACCAAATACCACTCCCAATGATCCACCCTATATGTAACTAAGCAACTCTAATTGTGTTCTCTTTTCTAAGTCATACAATGATCAAGAATATCTTACAGGATAACATGTAACATTAAAGAGTTTGGTATTTTCTTCTCTTTCATACAGAGATACAGAACATTCTGACAACTTCAGTCCAAACAAACTGTGAGAGACGGTTCAAGGACCTTAGAACAGCTTTAACAAACGCATGCATACATGTGGGAATTCTCTATTTTTGAATTTTAATTTGCACAGTAGGACTGTGTTTTAAACCAGAAGAGGAGATACTGTCCCAGAATAACCCACGCTACAGAGCAATTCACAGTAAACTACATACATACAGCAATCAGGACACATGATCACTCCCTCCCAATAAACCTACCATCTCAGAATAAATAAGTTCACATTCATTAAAATTACTAAAAATCAGAAAAGTACCATTTTGAATTGTCTCTATACAAATGGGTGCTGAAAGGTGGTAACCAGGCCAAACTAACTGCCTCCAGCTGTTCTTTTGCAGACAAGACTCTCCATAATGCCACTGTCTCTAATCTCACAGTCAGCAAATTTCTCTCATTTGGTCCTGTGCCAAACATTCTGGTGAGAAAACATTAAGCTAAGTTAGATGGTGCTACAGAAGCTGTCTATACCAACAGGTTTAATTAGCAAGACAGATTCTTAGGCTTTGCAGTTTCTTTAAGACTCCCCACCATAGTATTTGCCCATGAGAAAAACGATGAAACTTCCACATTTTTACAAATAAAAATCAGTTATTAAAATCCTAACTCTTGGGAGGAATGACAATAATACAGCTGTTTCTTGCTACTTGATGACGTGTTTTTCCAGCTTGCGCAGCACTGTATTTCACTCCCAGATCAAAAATATGTTACACCAAACCCTGCCAAAAAGGCAAGGCATGAAATTGTCAACAATCATCACCTACAATGAACATAAGATCCATTCCAAACTTGGGATACCCTGAACATACAGGAGCATCTATTAAAGCATTATAGTGCTACAGATTGTTTCCAAGCTAGCTACCTTTTTTTCTATTAAGATACATAATCCAAATTCAAAACAGAGAAGAAATGAAAATAAATATAATGTGAATAAGGCCCAAAACTATGGCTCTGAAGTCAACAGTTCACACTTAGAAAGCTTTAACTCCCCTGTCTTATGAAGTGTCTGTTAGCCAAGACAATGTTCAAACAGCGTTTGAAAGATTTTGTCTTGTCCTTTGAGATGATACAGTTTATTTTTCATTCAGTTATTTTTAAAATAATAGCTACTAACATAAACTAGGTCATGAAGTTATAGAAAACATGCTAAAATAGATCACAACTATCCTATTCTCTTCCCTGCCACAATTACAGAAAAAATGGTGGTGGTATAGACAGAAGTAAAACACAAATGCTTGCTCCTAGTTCTGGAGCACAAAAGAAAGGAAGAGAAGGGGAGGGGAGGGGAGGAAGGGGAGAGAAGCAAACAGAACCAAAACCACAACAATCTCCTTTGACAGCCTCTTTAATGTAACTGGATAAGCCCTAGCTTTTTCCTGATATCTGAAGAAATAAGCTACTGGCAGCAACTAATATTTAAGTTCATATTCCTTGGTAAACTTCTCTGAAAAAGAAGTTCTCACTAACTACGATTCCTCTTCCTTTAATAAAGAAAACAAAAATGCAAAATCTGCCTCTTGATCTGTTGGTTTTGGGATGCTTTTTTTCAATCTATGACCTACCTTTGCAGTATTATGGACACTGCAATAGTTCTTTTCCTCAGTGTTTAAACTGGAATACCAGACTATCCAGATACAGACTGACTACTGGGACACTTCTACAGGAAGAAGTATGAACAGTAAAATTTCTAAATCAAATATACATATTTCAAACAACGTAAGTGCTGATTTAATACATCTGCAAATACTGCAATCTCTCAGCAAACTGTAGCAAATTTTCCCAACAAGTATAACTGAGGTAACTGCTTAAGCTCAAACTCTCTGCTGGTTGATTTGAACTGCTAACAAAAATAAGAATCTTCCAAGATTAGTCAGTTCCAACACAGTTCTTGGACACTTTCCAAATATGATAGAATAGTATTTAAAGTTCTTATACATTTAACAGTTTCCTCTTTCATAATAGAATTACATCAGTCTCAATAAAGCACATTTTCAGTGTTGTCATAAATACTAATAAGTTTATGTTTAAAATAAATTCTAACTAAACACTGCGTTATTTCCACAATTTAGTTACAAAATAAAGGCACAAAGTCAGTTAAGTTTACATATTTTTTAAAGTTGACAAAAGCAAAGGCTGTAGAATTTCATTTTAATTTTGCTGTACTTAGAGATTTTTCAAAATGATATAGCAAAAACTTAAGAATTCACACAGAATCACAGAATTGCAGGGTTGGAAGGGACCTCAAGAGATCATCAATTCCAACCCCCTGCTAAAGCAGGTACGCTCCAATAGGTCACACAGTAGGCATCCAGCCATGTCTTGAAAATCTCCATAGAAGGAGACTCCACAACCTCTCTGGGCAACCTATTCCCATGCTCTGCCACCCTTATTACAAAGAATTTCTTCTGCATGTTTGTATGGAACTTCCCATGTTCAAGTTTTAGACACCGCTCCTTGTCCTATCACCATATACTGCCAAGAAGAGCCTGACCTCATTCATCTGCATCCTACCTCCCTTTAGGTATTTATAAACATTAATCATTCATTCAGTATGACATAAGTTTAGAAATAGTCACCTTGACACAAAATCCCACAATGTGATATCTCTATCTATCCACAACAGTTCTACTCACAGCTGCATCGAAGGCACACTAAGTTTCAAGATCTGAGAAGAAAACGTTGCTTCTTTTTAAAAGGATGTGAGTGTAAAACAGCAGAAGCCTCTGTTGGATAAGACAAAGCTTTCAAATATTGCATGCAGTACAGATATAAGACTAAAGTAAAGTCAAGCAGAACAAAGCAATTACCAAGGTGGAATTCTGCCAGCAGAGAGTTTTCCTTTCTGCCCTTCACACAACAATCTATTTGCAACTGAAACTGGATTCTTGATTCCTGAAAAGAAAAATCAGCAAAAAACGGGAACAAACCATTAAAATATTTTCCACGCAGTACTGTGGGGTTCATTTTGGCAATGGAAGTCAGCTTCCTTTCATTTCCAGAGCTTCAGTAATTCAGTAAGAGACACATTGTGATGCTATTTTTCAGCTTAATAACATTAAATCAGTTGTTCCTTCTCGTGGCCTATCGGTGGTAACAAGACTTCCTAATCAACATTTGGTTTTGTTTTTTAAAGAAAGAAGGGTACTGAAATATTAGGAGTGACTCCCTACCACAGAAATCTCAGAATTAAAGCAGCGGTGTTCTACAGACCAAAGATGTTTTATGAGTATTAATTTTTCAAGATGGAAAAAGCTTTGTTTGGATCTATCTGGCCAGAACAGGGATTATAGGATTCAGGCTTAGCTTTTTCTCACTCCCTCATTTCCTCCGTCTCCGTGGTTGGAAGGATACATTTTGTAACAAGTAAGCCTTGAAACACTTAATTTTACTATTTATTTTAGATCTATATCTACATGAGGAAGTTATTAACACAGTTTAGAACTATCCTAGGATAAAGAACAAAGGTTGAAATGTTTTCAGAAAAGCTATTCAATAGTATTCCAGAGTAACACTTAAGGCTCTCAAACGTACTTATGACAAAAGTTCAACCATCCCTGCTTGGGACTGTTTTGTACTGAAAGGTAAAGCTAGGCAAAAGAAAAAAAATGAAAGGCACGTTAGTTCTCAGATTAAATAAGTGTTATATGCATATTCATGTAGCCTTGTAATAGTTTCACAAATTAGAAATCCAGATGTTATTGATCACATGAGAGGATTATAATGAAAAAACTATATTATAGAAGAATTTTACATTGAGGCAAGCAGCTTGACAGATCAGTGGCTGCAAGAATAAACAAGAAGCCCCAGTTTAGAGGCTGTGTACCTTTCTAACACTGCAAAGGAAACCTTAGTTCAATTTGACCAATTAAGCTAAGAGATTCTATGACTGAATTACATAACAGTAAGTTCTTCAAGGAGCCAGATAACAAAAAACATATACTGTCATATTAATGCTTGTATTTTTTATATATATGTGCATTTTACTGTGTATAATATATTTGCATTTTACTATAAGGTTACAATTCTTCAAAGCCCTCTGAGAAAACACACTCCCTCTGAGTGAATGAATACTTTATCACACAATCATTCTGCAAAGGACTATCAGTGAACTAAGACAATGCACTGCAACATCACAAAGCAGTATTTCAGGAAGTGAGAATGCCTCCCTCTCCCTTTTGTTTGTTTACAGAGGGAAGAATTCATTAAATGGGGCTATAATGGCATCCCCTGCAAAAACTTCACAAAAAAGAACAAACTTGGTCTTTGCACTTAAATCAGCAGTTAGCTTTATAACACGTAGTTAACATACCACTCAGTGCACCAACTGCTCCAAAATTCAACGACTTTCCATCCATTATGCTGGCATCGCATTCTATCTCACCCAGAAGGTTTAAGTTAGAACCCATTCCTGCATTTGTAAAAGGAGAATCCTGAAAATAAAAACAAAGCACCGTGAGGCCACAATCACATCAAACTACATCAAAACCCCTGCATAATTAATATGACAACAGTGATGTGTTACAGCGTACATTCTTGCTGCAGTACTTTAAATATGCCACAGCAACATCAGAAAAGAGCAATTTGCTATGTTTATCTTAAATTACTACGATGGAAACCTTATACTCTCTTCTGTGTGATACATCTCAAGAGTAATAATGTGCTAATATAAACCATGATCACTTATTTGTAAGCAAAAGCCTTACAATACGAGCAAATATCTCTTCCACAGAGACCACAGTTTATCTCTGATGCTCTCAAGTGTGACACGGGAGCAAACAGAATTGTATGTTTTATTAAAATCATAACCCTATGATTACAGCCTTGCATAAAGAATCACAGAATCACCAAGGTTGGGAAAGACCTTCAAGATCATCCAGTCCAACCATCCACCTATCACCAATAGTTCTCACTAAACCATATCCCTCAACACAATGTCCAAACATTCCTTGAACCCCACCACCTCCCTGGGCAGTCCATTCCAGTGCCTGACCACTCTTTCAGAAAAGTAGTATTTTCTAACATCCAGCCTGTATTTCCCCTGGCACAGCTTGAAGCCATTCCCTCTAGTTCTGTCACCAGTTACACGAGAGAAGAGGCTGACCCCCAGCTCACTACACCCTCCCTTCAGGTAGTTATAGAGAGCAATAAGGTCTCCCCTGAGCCTCCTCTTCTCCAGACTGAACAATTCCAGCTCCTTCAGCTGCTCGTCATAAGGCCTGTGCTCCAGACCCCTCACCAGCTTTGTTGCCCTTCTGTGAACCCTCCAGGGCCTCAATGTCTTTCTTGCAGTGAGGGGAATTGAGATGAGAAACCAGCACCATTAACAAGACTTCACTGTGCAAAATTTCTATTTGAATACTAACACAAGCACCACCACTACCCTGGTATGAAAGTTTTTCAAACAACAAATCACACATCACATAAAGTACCAAGCAACTTTTAATGTGTCCTAGTTAAAAACTAAGCCACCTTTTATTAGCACTGCCTGTAGTTCTTACTGACTCAAGTTTCTCAAATAAGAAGTGCTGCATGTTGGATTTAATATTACATCTTTGTGCAGACACATGCTGCCCATGTGCCAAGATGCCGACCTTGGGCAGGTGGCAGACTGCAAAGCAGCAGCTGGCTTAGCCGACTGCTAACTCCAGACTACAGCAGTTACACCATCACCTAGGTATCTCAAGCTTACAACCTAAAACTGTACTAAGGAGACAATGCAAAGCTTCAAGACGTGGAACAAGAATTTCATTTTCAAATGTTAGTTCATCTTATAAAAACTCTTAAGCACTACTGAGGATATCGTTTTCAATTCAGAACCCTTCTTACCTCAAGATGTATTTTAAAATGTTCTGGCAGCAATACAGGCGTACTAAAGCTGTGGTCAAATGTGGAAAACTTGAAAAAGTTGCTCAACATGAATAATCCAGAATTACATCTAGACAAATAGTTAAACTGCTCTGTTTTTGACATGCATTAAAGAGCATCCCATCCACCTTGGGTGCATTTTTGGTCAAGGTTTATTTGCAACTTTTAAAAGGATTTCAAAGCCTACTGGCATTTCTTTCTACACGCTGTAATTATAAATTTTTTTCTTCTGTGGGAATTCAGTAACAAGAAGTAACAGACTACTAGGGTGAGTCAGGTCTCTTTTAATCAAACCAGTTAAAATGTTTTTCAAGAACACTTTTGTCATAGACTACCGTTAGTCACTTTGCTGCAAAATATCAAACAGCAAAGTCTTTAACTAGATTTAACAACTTCCAGTTCAAGATTCGTTTAAAGTTCATCTATGGTGACTGCCTTACTACAACAATGCTGCTGGCCTTGTGCTTTCAGCTTCAAAATATATATACTTGGGATTAAGATTCCATATTCTGAAGTCTTATTTACTCTGAAATTAATATTTAAAAAAAACAAACAAACAAGAGACAAATTATTTCATTGCAAAATTTTGCTTTCCATTCCTTTGACTGGGACATAGCAAAAAATGCAAATAGAGCAACCTTATGAGCAAGGATATCCAAACTCAAAATGTGATAACCACTTTCCATAATCACATTGATTCCCAATTTAAATGATACTCACAAAGAATGTTCCACACAAGCCAGATGGAAAAGCCAAGCAATAAACACACAGTATGAATAAACTGAGGTTGCACTAAGAGAAAGTTTAAAATTTTCATCTAGAACAAACTTTGTTCTTGCTTCCAATACCTGAACATTAGAATCTCTGAAGTGCTCCTCACTCAAAGAAAACTTGAAACTGTACATTGTTCCTCTAGCCAGCTGTAAATTCAATCAGCATGTGGTTCTGTTGTAAACTGCAGCTTTTAAAAGAAAAGAAATATCTGCCCAAATCCCCTTATGTTTCAAGAGGAATTCGGACGTCATATGGTGGCAGATAGCAAAAGCATAAAAACAAACGGTTCTGGGATTGTGAATATAGCTCTGAGATCAAGCATACAATGTAAATGATGAGTCTTATGAAGCACCTTGTCCAGAAGTATTTGATTACCAAAAGGTGAAAGAAGAAACACATTCATTTATTTCTCTGCAATGACAGAGTTCACAAACTGAAAAACATAACTGCCTTTATTCAACTTATGAAATATTGTTGATGCTCATGCAAACCAGCACCATTATTTTAACAGTGTTCTGGGTCAGGCATTCAAGTTGCTTTGCACAAGTAATCTACCTTTTCTCTAACAACTACTAGCATTAATTATATCTTCATCTATTCCCTATTTCACTTGAGACTCAAAACATCCAACAAAGAAAGGCTGCTCACTCTACATTTGGAGCCTGCAAAAATAAAACAAAAAACAGCATACCGCAAGTAAACTGTCAGCTTGCTCATAAAAGATCAAGAGCAAGTCTTGCGCCTCTCTAAGCCTTTGAAGTGATGCCTCTTGGATTAGATGAAATTCTGTGTAATAGGAGTTGTGTAATTGAGCAGAACTAAGGGAAAAAAAAATCATCTTTTGCAGCACTTCCATGAAAAGATGCTTGTGTCTTTCAAAGACTACACGGTTTTGGAATATAGCATTAAAAATCCTAACAAAACGTAAAAGTAATTAAATATTTCAGATAAATTCACTGTACTGTGTTCTACATCAACCAAATACTACCTAAGACAATTATAAAAACAGACAGTAGAATGATGGCAGGCATCACCAGAACAGTAGGCAAGACTGAAAAGGAGAAAAAGCTTGCTGATCAGATCAATTCTCTAAATATGCTTTAATTTCATTTTACAGCCATAACATCATACAGATGTCACTCCAGAATATTTAAATCTACTACAGCAAAAGAAGATTCTCTCGGGGGATAGCAAAACCAGAAAATAATTTACCCTAGGCACAGCTGAAAGGAGACTTAGAGCTGTTCAGCCAAGTTTCTTAAGATGTGTTTTCTTTTATGTAGCTCGGGAATATGATAAAAACTACAGCACAAAAGACAAAATGTTTTCCACAGAGATGGGAGCTGCATCACAAAAGAATCTTGTGGAACAAGAGCTGATTCTGTTAGCTTATTCATGTACATGATTTATAAGATTTATTTTCATGAGCAAGTCGAAAGCCTATGGGTGACATTTAAAGACTGAGGCAGCAAAGGGAGCCCTGTGATCCGTGCTTGCTACAGGTCACCCGACCCAGTGGAGCCTGTCAGTGAGGCCTTATACCTCCAGATAGAAAAGGTGTTGCAATTGCAAGCACTCATCCTGCTGGGGGACATAATCACCCAGACATCTGCTGGAAAAGTAGCATGGTGAGCTGTAGGCAATTCAAGAGGCTCCTGAAATGCACTGAGGATAACTTCCTGAGTCAAGTAATAGGTCTCACCAGAGGGGATGCAGTACTGGACCTGTTGCTCACTGATGCAAGTGAACTGACTCTACATCAGAACTGGAGGTTGGTAGTGACCATGCTACGGTTGAGTTCATGCTCCAGAGGGATATGAGACAGGCAAAGAGTAAAATTAGGATGCTAAATTATGGAAAGCTGACTTCCAGCTCTTCAGGGAGTGGATCAACAAAACACCCTAGGAAACTGTCCTCATGGGCAGGGGTGTGTAGGAAAGCTGGCAGATTTTTAAGAAAGCTTTCCTCAGTCCGCAGGAGCTCTCCATTCCCAGGTGCAGCAAGTCAGGAAAGGAAGGCAAGAGATTGGCATGGCTGAACCAGGACCTGCTGGTCAAACTAGTGAGCAAGATGAAAATGCACAAGCAGTGGAAAAAGGGGCAGGTACTGTAGAAAGAGTATAAGAAAGCTGCTGGGCTGCATAGGGACGGAGTCAGGAAAGTCAAGGCTCCAACTAAGCTTGGCAAGGGATGCCAAGAAGAACAAGAAAGGCTTCTACAGGTAGTTTACCCAGAAAAGGAAAGTCCAGAAGGGCATACTCCCCCTAGTAAGTGACAAAGGTAGGCTGGTAACAAGAGACAAGAAGATTGAGATACTTGAAAACCTTTCTTCTCAGTCATCTTCTCTGATAACTTCTTGTCACACAGCCCTCAAATGTTCAGTAGGAGGGGACTGGGAAAGCAATGTTCCTCCCACTTTAAGAGAAGATCAGGTTTGTGACCACCTGAGAAAACTGAACATCCACAAATCCATGTGTCCCGAGGAGATGCATCCCAGAGTACTGAGGGAATTAGCTGATGTAGTTGCCAAGCCACTCTCAATGATATTTGAAAAGTCATGGCAATCAGGTGAAGCCTCTGGTGACTGGAAAAAAGGCAACACCACATTCATTATTAAGAAGAGTAATAAGGATGACCCTGGGAACTACCATCCTATCTGTCTCCTCTCTTGTGCCAGAAAAGCTTGTGGAAGCTATGCTAAGGCACACAGAAGATACGGAGAGACAGGAGAACCAGCATTTCACCAAGGGCAAATCCTGCTTGACCAATCTAGGGCTTTTGATGATGGTGTCACTGCACCAATGGACAAGGGAAGAGTCATTGATGTCATCCACTTGGACTTTAGTAAGGCCTTTGACACGATACTCCACAACATCCTTCTCTCTAGATTGGAAAGATATGGATTTGATGTGTGGACTGTTCAATGACCGAAGAATTGGCTGCAGGATCAAGTCCATAGAGTTGGAGGACAATGGCTCAATGTCTGGATGGAGACTGGTGACAAGTGGTGCCCCACTGGGGACCAATACTCTAACATCTCCATTCAGGAGAGACATGATACTGACAGTGAGGTCAAGTGCACCTTCAGTAAGGTTGCTGATGACACCAAGCTGTGGGGTGCGGTCAACACACCAGATGGACAGGATGCCATCCAGAGGCACCTAGAGAGGCTCAAGAAGAGGGCCCTACGAGCACAGGATGAGAGAGCTGGGGATGTTCAGCCTGGAGAAGAGAAGGCTCCAAGGTGACCTGAGAACGGCTTACAGTATCTAAAGGGGAGCTACAGGAAAGGAGGGGACAGACTCATCAGCATGGTCTGTGGTGACAAAACAAGGGGAAATGGCTTCAAGCTTCAAGAGGGTAGATCTAGGTTGGATATAAGGAAAAGATCTTTTACAGTGATGGTGGTGAGGCATAGGAACAGCTTGCCTGAAGATGTGGTTGATGCTCCATCTATGGAGACTTTCAAGGCGAGGCTGGATTGTGCCCTGGGCAACCTGATCTAGCTCTGGTGTCCTTGTTCATTGCAGGGGAGATGGACTAGATGACATTTAAAAGGTCTCCTCCAACTCTAAAGATTCTATGAATCTATGTTTCTATAATGCATAGATATTCAGAGAGATATTTTTCTCTCATCTAAATCTACTTTAATGTTTAAGATAGCACATGAAAGCATATTTGAACAGTTCAGTGGAGACCACAATTACTGTTTAAAGCCAAGAAGCTTGCCAAGTTAAAAGTATGACTGAAGTTTTGGCACCTAGTCAGCACGCCTACCACATATTAAAGCACGTACTGCTTGCCTTAAGCTAACCCTATCAAGTACATTAATTAACACTTTCCAAACATGTGTAAGCAAATCCACTGCTAATCTTCTGAGAATATGCCGATAAATTTCAACACCACATTTTTACAGCACAATGTTTACCTCGCCTTCCTTCTTTACTAGTAAAGTTGGAGGGGAAAAATGACTGCTAACAGTAGAAAAGGAATTGCTTTTTCAGTCATTACTGCCATGTGAGATTAGCGGACCTGGAACAAGCATGTTACTAAACTTCCTCATTTACATCTCAGAAATTCTTTTAGCTTTACTTCCATTTTCCTTCATAGGGACCCTTCACTAAAGTCAGAAATTCGTACCTCCAGTTCTATAAGTGCTGCAGTCACTGCATCTGTTGCAAGAGCACCAGCCTGCAGCTTTTCGATCGCCTGTAAAACAGAATTTTCAGTTGATTATTAGGAAATTCTAATATTCTGCAGCTAAGTCCTATGTTTTCCTAGATCTGTAGAAAGAGAATCCTCATTAAATTAGGATTAAATCTAAGAGGACATAAAAACAAGCTGGCATGTTCCACATGAGGGTAGATCTGATGCCTTTTTAAAAATCAGATATTTCAACACTGCATTTAGTAGCAGATTTTTGCATGATCAAATTTGTAGCAAAATAAGTTCTTATACCTGGCATCCTCAAACATAATGATTCAGTCAAGGAGTTTCTAATCTTCCTTCCAAGATTCAACAACAGTCTCTAATACTATATATGGCAACTGTCAAGAAATTGAATATAATCAACCTCATGTAGAAGCCAACACACAAAACAAATCATATAAGATAGTGTTATCTGCAGATTTTATATGTGCATCCACATTCAAACACACACACACACAAAAAAAGAATTCTAGAGCTATCTATTATTTATATTATAGTATATATATATTATACTATATAAATAATACTATAATATATATAGTATTGTTTCCCAGATCCAGACTGGTAAGACCATACATTCAAGTTATTTCAGGGAACCTCCAAAAAACAACTATGGCTGCATCTTTAGTAGCAAAACAAACCTGCGACCGTCTGTTCTTCATACAAGTTATTAATGTTGGCTACTGAACTTAAGGAACCAAACAGAATCTCAAACTAGACTTGCATTCAACAGCAAACAACCTCGTCTCACACATAATTAGCTGGAAAACTAATATCATCAGTGCTAGTGCACAATTTTAAGGAAGCTGATGTTAAATTTGGATGATTTTTCAACTTTCTCATTACAAAATTACGTTGGTATTAGGATTGAGACACAGAACTGCAAGATGAAGTGTTAATAATTATTAGACTCCAACTCTGAAAAGCACTTCTGAAAGGCCTGCCAGACTCCCCAGCATGTTCTCTCTGGAGAAAGAAAAAGGCATTAGAAATTTTGGAGATAAGTCTTCCAGCTTCTTATTCAGCTCTTAGCACTCAGGAGCTGCCAGCTCCAAAGCTAAATTCTCAGAAGAGATTAAAAATACATATTTCAATGGAAATTAAAATCTTGCCATTACTTCTTTTACAATTTTGGAAACTTAATTTGTTTCTTTGGTCATTTGTTTTTTGTTGTTTCTGTCCTTGCTACCTCCCCTCCCATTAAGAAGTCAAGAGCCATCAAAAAGAAAGGAATTCTATAAATTCTTGTATTTATTGAGCAATTTGGACGCTAGTCAAAATAAATTCCAAAAAGAGTGGACACTGATGAAGAAAGATCCAAGCACTACATTCAACTCCAGAAATCCCAGAGCCACAGGAAGCTCTTATGAATATCCTGTGAATTATGAACTGTTCCCCGTTTGGTGTGTGGTATTTGCCACCACCAAATGACAATGTTGCTGCACCTCACCTCCATGCACTCTACCAAGTCTGTATAGTAGCCATGTTAGCTGTTGCTACTCCTTTTTTTCCTCTAGAAATACATTCAGTCAGAGCAGCTAAACCAAGATATGTCTATTCATACCAAAGAGACAGTGCTCCCAAATACACTTCTTACACACTCACTACAGGACTATGGAGCTGGTAAGACATACCTTCTGGCAGGCTCTTTTGCACACATGCTTGTATTCTTTCGCTTTGGATTCAGAATGATAACCTGCACCTACAGTTAGGGAAAAGGAAAAGAGATTATACCTCTTATCAAGCTACTGGCTACAAACATCAGCAAGAACTATGATACAGGCAGACAAGAGACATCCTTATTCGGGATTACGTTTGCACTCCCTTTTCATATTAGAAACTGACAACATTATGCATTCAAATAGACTCAATAAAGTACAGGGGACTGAGCACACACACATGAGTACACACATTTAAATCATATAATCTGCTCCTATGAACACTCTCCAAGAGGTTACAGATTAGTGCATTCTTAGAGACCAGCACAGCTATTTTATTTATTTGAAATCAGGGTGCAGAGAAAAAAAAAGGTTTGGTTTTAAGGAAAACTCCATTTTTCCTTTTCCTGCAGAATGGCAAGTTGGTCAGTTACCATTCTGTTCATTTTCTCCTGTTTGCACTACATTTTCAGAGCTCTATATTCTACAGCTAGGAGAGGTTCATGAAACAAAGATCAGTTTTTTTTCATCTTATTCTATCCTTTTGCATCCAATTACTCTGCAGCTTTTAGTCACTGTGCCCTATTTCCACACCTAAGAAATTCATCAGTCCCCTATGTGACTAAATATGTTATCAGAAAAATAGCAGACAAGCTTAGTACACTGATTTTTAGATTCCATTTTGTTTCAGTTTCTTTTTTTTTTTAATTAAAAAAAATATATATATTGTTTGTATTTATCTCAACTTCCACTTCCTCACCTTTATTAAAAGCCAGCTTCAAGAAATTAATAAAATTAGTTTAAACACTACCAGTGAAGAAAATAAAGAATTTAAACCAGTAAAATAACATAGTAAAGAGCAAGATGTTGTGCTTCACAACACGTGCACAAGGAAGGGGCGGTGTGAGCGCTCCAGTGAAATTTCCCGGGGAAATGGCTGCAAGTTGTACCAGAAGAGTTTTAGGTTAGACTTAAGGAAGAACTTTTTCTCTCAGAGCGTGGTCAGGCACTGGAATGGCCTGCCAAGGGAGATGGTGGAGTCGCCATCTCTGGCAGTGTTCAAGAGGCGTCTGGAGAAGGAGCTGCAAGATCTGGTTTAGTGCTTGTGGTAGCAGTGGTAATGTGAAGACGGTTGGACCAGATGGTCTTATAGGTTGTTTCCAACCTTGTGATTCTATGATTCTATGAAGATATTGATCAGTTCAATTTACTCTTAAATAGAATATAAACATTTTTCAATATCAACCCAGATAAGTTCTATTAACTGTTAAATTTAAGGATTTTCTTCTCTATTGAGAGCAAATATGCATAATGATATAAATATAGAGATGCATCATTCAGAACATCCAAAATTACATTTTTAGTACTAGTTTCTCCAGTCAATGCAATCAAACTCTCTTATATATTTATATCCAAAGTTCATGGCACTTCATTAACATACTAATCGACAAAAGCCAATATGATACTTCAGTTGATCTTTAGTGTGTGTACAGACTATTGCAGTTCCAGCTGTTATGCTTCCACACCTTACCTGCGTGAACAAGCACAAATCCCACTCGTTTCCCTCTTTGGGTCTGCTTTGTTTCGGGCTCTTTGACCACCACTTTTACAGCTGTAACCTGAGATGATTTGGAAGGTAACACTTCTACGGAGCTTATCCCCTTCTCCATGATCATATACTAGGATCAACATCTTCTACTGGAAAAGAGCATGCTTCCATTCAAAAAGAAATTCTGGAGTAGAGTCATCCTAAAACCAAATCACATGCATATGTTGGATACTGATTTCCAACAGACATATTTCACATAAATCAACATCAACAAAATTTCTGGAAGACAGGTTTGAATGAAAGAGCACACGCCTGCTAAACGAAAGGCTTCTAAGTTCTTTCTCTTCCCTTGTTAGCAGTACTCATGTGACTTAGGATACCCAATTCAGTTGAAAAAGTCCATGATGCAAGTTGAACCCGAACAGATTTCAGATTGGCTTTCGGGAAGAGACTTAACTTCAACCTAGCCAACTTCCCAGACATCTCTAGAGATTAGGGCTTGCCCACAGTAGAGAACAAGCTGCTCTCCACGGTCTCCTTTTGTTTAACATTAAAACCTATTAAAACCCCGCATTAGTTCCTAACACAGTGCTGTTTCATAGGCACAACCCATACCTCTTAAGAGTGGCGACCCCAGCTGCTGCTGAAGATCCTAAGCAGCACTACTACAATACTGGCAAAAGCCAAAAGCTGAACACAAGAGTTGTACGTGCGACCTGCACGACTCGCTGCCCTGAAGTCGCACACCGCATCCAACCGCGTGCTTCCGCTACATTACGAGGAGGATGCAGAAACTGCGCGTTAACACAAAGTCGCATAAGCAATCAGCGCTATTTCCACTCAACTGCAGCACACGAATAACACGTAAAAGAAACTTTTATTGGGGAAAGTTCCCGGAAGGACGAAGAGAGGACCCCCCGCACGACCGCCGCCTCAGCTCCCGGCCCGGTGGCGCCCGAGGGCCGCGGGCCCGCCGTGGTCCCGCCGTCGCCATGGCGACGCGCAGGGGGGCGGGGCCGCCGCGCGGGGTGACGTCACCGGGAAGCCCGCCCCGCCGGAGGCGCGCGGAGAGCGGCCGCCCGCGCGGCCGTTACCGCCCCGCCGCCACCAGCGGAGGCTCGGGGGGATGAGGAAGGGGACGGGGGAGAGCGGGCGGGCGGGAGAGGCCGGGCCGAGAGGAGGCGGGGATTGGCGGGCTAAGGCGGGGCAGGGCGGACCCAGGCGCGCAGCACTCACCCGCCGATGCCGTCAGCCTCGCGCACACCCGGAACCGTCCGCCCGCCCGTTGCCTCGGTGAGGATGAGGCGTCCCGCCCCACTGCCTCCCTCCCATTGGGCGCGGCGGGACAGGCGACCGGAAGCAGCGTCGCGCAGAGGAAGCGGCGGATTGGTGGGCGGAACAGGAAGGCCCGCCCTCTGGCAGCCAACAGGAGGTGGGGCCGGTGCTTGGCCGCTAGGCGCCCTGCTGCTGCCGCCGCTACTGCCCGCCACGCCGCTCGGAACGGAAATGGCGGCGAGGCGCCTTGCGTTTCCCGAGGGCGGGAAGGCGTCCGGCACCGGCTTTGCTCCTACCGCTGCCCCTGCCGCCTTTCCTTAGGGCCGGTTTGTCACGGCCTCCCCCCTCAGGCACATCAGCCAAAGGGGCTCCTGATGGCTGCCTGCCATAAAATGAAATGAAATTCACCGATCCTGTGCGTTTCTATCAGAAGTGCCAGGCAGCGCTCGTGCACCTCGGCTTCCCCCTCACCCCGGCCGGCCGCCGGCCTCTGCAGAGGCACGTGAGGTGCGGGCCTCGTGCTGGGACACCTCCGCCACCTCCCTGGGCGGCCCGTTCGAGGCACCACCGCTTCCTGAGAATAGACTTTTCCCAGTATCCCACCTGAGCCTCCCCTGGCACGGCTTGAGGCCGTTCCCTCTCATCCTATCGCCGCTCACTGGGGGAAAAGGCCAACCCCCAGCTCTCCACACCCCTGCAGCTCAGTATTCGACTGACAAATTTCTCATTCCTTCTCTCTTCCACAAGAGAAAGGCAGAAGACAATGTACTGAAAACAGCCACAAAACACAGTAGGCAGGAGAACACAACAAACCTAAGTCAGTATTCCATGCCAAAAACTGTTAGCGTTACATACAGTTTTGAGGAGCTGTAAGCAAGGTGCACAACAAAATCTTATCTGGATGCTCTTTTTCGAGGGTTGGTTGTTTTGTTTTGCTTTGCTTTTTTACAGTTGGACGATTTTAGCAACAGGATTTCAGTCTCTTCAAGCGCCCTATATTAGACAGCGACAGCAAGATGTTTTTAGGTTTTACACAGCAAAATCAGTGCCATCGTGAATTGAGCAATCTCTTCCCCTTATGTGATTGATTTGGATTAGATTTGTAACATACTGCTTTTTTCCCTCACAAAGCATTACTTGAAATTAAATATTTACCCTTCAGTGTTGGCTAACCTTTAAGCATGTGCCTTGAGGAAGCACGTTACACAATGCATCATATCTATCCTTTCTCATTATTAACTACTCACAAACAATAGCATGAAAAAAGTCTGGCCTTTCTAATTACTGATACATCTGTGCCTGACAGAAAACAGATCAAAAAATGCTAAAAAAAAGCCCCATTTGGAGAAGACAACAAGTGAAGAAAGAAGCTCATGAATATTTTACCAATTGTAGTTTATACTTTAAATAGCTTCTTTGTCTGACCAGACGCTTGGGTAAGTGGTGTCCTTAGTTACATAAATGCACATCTCTTGGATAAAACTATGAACAATTAACATGTTTTATTCTCCTATCTTAGCCACACTTCAGCACTGAGCCAGCTGTTTGCAACCAAAAATAATTTTTAAGTCATGCTCTTCTCTCTAATTAAGCTCAATTGGACCAAAAAACATTACTATATATATATATTTATTACTGCAATATATAGAATTCGCTCATAGTCCAAAGCCCATCTCACCTAGAAATTTTGAGACAGGCTTTTTTTATCTTTTTAAAGCCACATTCTTACTACTTCTTCAGACTGTATCTTCAGCATTCTCTCTCCTTCTAGGGAAAGAACAAAGATTTCCAAAAAGTTTACCTTCATTGTAACGGTGAAGAAATAAGCTTTATTTCCACAAAGTAGACAGGAAAGTCAAGAGACTTTTTCAGACAGCAAGAAATCTGGTGCAAAGAGAACATCCCAGTAGTAGAATTATAATATAGGATGATTTATCCTCTTTGATCATCTCTTCTGCTTGTAAAATCAAGTTATCATGAACTGGGAGAAACACACTGGATGCTCCTTTCAGGCAAAGAAAGAGTAAACATGCTACTTCCTTTTGTGTGTTGCCTACTTTTTTTTTTTTTTCTTTTCTTTTCTTCTTTCTTTCTTTATTTTTATTTGAACTCAGGCTGCCCAGAGAAGTTGTGGTGCCCCATCCCCAGAACCACACTTAAAGCCAGGTTGGATGAGGCCCTGGGCAGCCTGAGCTGGTGGGAGGTGTCTGTCTATGGCAGGGGGTTGGAGCTCAGAGATCTTTAAGGCTCCTCCCAACCCAAGCCATTCTACAATTCTGTCTCTTGCCAGGCTTATGCAGAGCTGCAGCAACAGCCTACGAGAGAGAAGGCACACTTATGTTGTCCGGAGAGGAAAGTTAATTTTTCACACAGTTTTGATATTCTTCTGCTGGAAACAGTAGATCCACTCATTTAATAGAAATGTTTTTGATCACAGATTCCCTGGTACTGTAGTCTGGCATAACTCCCTTAATTTTAGTGGAATTTAGCCAATTTACTCACCAATCTTTGTGTAAAATCTTATTACTGATCTCAGAGTTTTCCAGATGAAAGAAGAATATCTTCACGTGGCTCCAAAGCAGAAGACAACAAAAACCAAACCAAATCTAAAAGAAACCCAAACAAATATTAAACAACAGAAAAAAACCATAGCTCTTAACAATGTGGAGCCATTCTGCTAATATTCAGTACTCAGCACAAGATGTTCCATTCAAAACCCTGCCAATACATCATCTATTTTATTACCAAAATTAAGAAAAATGTAGAGTCAAGTCAATCACACTATTTTTTCAATGCAACACAGTTTTACCAAATTGGTAGGAGAACACGGGGAGCTTAAAGCGCAACTGTTTTGCCCTTGCAGTTAACAGTACAATTTAAAAGCTTTTGAAGAGTGGAAACAGTGTGTAACATGAAGCAAAAGGAATTACTTTATTAGCTACACAACTATACACAACTATATTTTTATTTTCAGACGGAAAAAATCCAAGAAGTTTCGTTCTGTGTTGTTCTGAAGTCTCCAAAATAAAATTAATAATTCCCTTATTATTTTTTCCCAGTATTTTTTGTAGTTCTTTGACTAAGTAAAAAACAAGTACTGGTATTCAACTTGCAGGCAAAGGGCATTTTCTAACTTGGAAAGGCTAGAAGCCTTTCCTTCAAGGCCACTTCCTTGTCATTGCCAATGTCCAACATACTACATGTATTGTTATAGGCATTTTTTTAAGGAACAGAGAGAGATGAAGCATAAGGACTAAAAATTGCTTAAAATGTAAGGCAAGTAGATACTTACGAGATGGAAAAGCAAGCAAAACAAATGATCAGATTATGTCACATAATTTCCCTGGAGAGTCTGAGGAAAAAAACAAGTCAAAGCTTGCACTTCAGGAGTCCCTAAGCAGCACTATACATTCATGCAATTTAGCCATGACTATATCTATTCTGAGTAATCACTATACCACTTGAAGGCATGTGAGGAAGAGAAAAAGGATGTTCCACAGATATTTGACCCTTGTATGTAGTCTTAAACTCATTAGGAGTGTTACCTCACACAATGCAAACAGGTAATCATTTCCACCTGCATTCTTCAGCACCTCCTCAACTTGTATCTATGGAATCTATGCAGTGGATGAGCAAATGACTAGCTTCATACAACACAAAAGCTAGTCAAGACCTCATTAATAGCAAAAAAGCCTACTTCAGAAAAGGTGATGGCTGGCAGGAAAGGCTGGGTTTGTTTTGTAAAAGTTCAGAAAGATGGGTTGTTGGAATATTTGGCACTTTTCTCGCCCCTGTAAATTAATCCTGCAAATTCAGGGCATTATACTGCTCGTTATTTTATTCTCATGTGAGTATACATTTCAATGTGCTGACCACTATGACTGTAGGATGTATGTCTGGAGTAATGTTAAAAGCATATTACACACTTAGAAGCAGGAGGAGTTATTTTTCTCTGCAATCAGACATGACCCACAATCAGCTTTTTCTCAAAAAACAAAAACAAACAAACAAAAAAAAACCCAAAACAGCATTAAACAAACATTTGGAATATAATTAAAGCAAAAGTCAAGAGCATTTCAGGATTTAGAAAGGCATTAACAGAAGTTGGGAGAGGAAGGAAAGGAGAGGCTGGAAAGGCTGGAAGAGGAGAGTAGGGAAAAGAAGAATTAGAAGGTGAAGTGGTGCTGAAGAAGGTAAGAGAAGCTCAAAAGAGGTAGTAAGAACATCAAAATATATCAGCTGCGGTCAATGGGGCCAAAGCAATGATCAAGTAGGGACAAGAGAAAAGAATGTCAGGCAACACGCGGAAGAAGAAGGCCAAAGGCCAGTTCTAGAGCTGTCCAAGCAGTCAGGAAGAACCAGAGAAGAGAAGAAAAGAGCAGAACACAGAAAAACAAAGCAGAGCAAAGATAAAAAGGTTTTACAAAAGGAGCTTAGGAGGGGAAAGGAAAGAAGGTCTGAGAAAATATGGTCAAGAAGGTCAAAGATCAGAGAAGAGTATGTCAGTCATAGAGGAAAAAAGAAGGCTGGAGAGGAGGAAGACAGACAAGTGATTTGCAAAATGAAGATAGAGGAAAAGAGATATTTAAAAAACATATCTGATTTTTAACTTCTTTTAGATGCAATTTGGTAGTTACAGATATTTAAAAAAATAAAAAGAAGACACTTCTTCACTCTTCAATTAGAAATTATTTACATATCCATATTAAAATTACATTGTGCTTACGGAGTAATACAGTACAAGCTTGTATCTACACATCTCTGTTTATAGATTGGATAGGTAAAAAAAAATAGTATAAATTGAACAGTGTGGATGAAGTAAACATACGCTTGCTTTGTACAAGATATCTCTCACCATCAGTTTCATTTCAGCTAAGGTCTTTACAGAAGTAAAACATTTCATACATGTTCCATAGATAGCATATCTATCTGTCTGTCTGTCTGTCTGTCTATCTATCTATCTATCATATCTATATCATATATATTCCACAGATGCAGAACTATATGGCTTATGGAGATCAGCTTCTGTCTTTGGTGCTACCAGGTGCTTCCTTTTCTGCTGGATAAAACCACAAGGAAATAACATGAAGTTCAAAAACCCTTCGAAAATCTTTGGCCTCATTTCAGAGTTGTAACACACAACCCAAACCTCAGTTATGAGTTGCTATATTGCCAATTCTTTTTCCTTTTTTTGCTCCTTAAAATAAATAAATAATAACAAATAAAATCTTATTCTTCACTGCAATGTTGAGTTGAGCTGAGTAGATTCCTTGATGTACTTTTTTTGACTCTCAGATCGCAATCGTTATATCTGAGATAGAACTGTCTAACTGCATGGGAGGGCAGTGTGTCAAAGCATGGCAAGGCACTTGCCCTGTGCCTGTGCAGCTTTCCTTTGACACACAACGCTGACCCTGCCTAAGGTGGATTTCAGGGCTAAACAAAGCTTCAATTCCACTTCGTGCATTCATCTTTACATCCTGTATAAGGTCCTATGCACCTTTTGCTTCCAGTTTTCTTTTCTCTGCCCAACAGTCCTTTTTTGCAACTAAGAGGCAGCACAACACCTGGCTGATTGTGAGCTAAACAGATTTTGACTTTAATATTGTCAGATATCCTTGAAGTTGGCCAACAGGTTCAAATTATGAAAGGTATGCTAAGAGACTGATGGATGAGCAATATGATCATAGAACCCTTCTTCCTTTAGAGGGGAAGCTAGAAGTGTTGTCAGTTCAGTCCTGCCTTCTTCTCCAGGAGAACGGTGTTTCAAATCCAGACGTCCACTTCTGCTTGTTTTGTGATGTTTCTAATTAAGTTCTTCCTTGCCACTGGTGCCTATTTCCAAACTGGCTAAATATTCCTTATTTCTTTGTTTCTGATCCTTGTTTTTCCTCTAGATTTGCAGTGCTACTCCAACAAGAAGGTGATCTTGTTCTGTAAATCATTTCTCAGCATACATATTTGAAATGAAAGGCTTCCTTTATTCTTTTTACATTTCCATCTGTACCTGGTTTTGGTCTTGTTCATCATCTCAGATTTCGTCTTGCACTCTTCTAATTTTATTTCCTATTGAAAAAGGTCTTATTTGCTGTGTTAGTTTATTCTGAATAAGAATGTCAAGCAGTGAGGTTTCAGTGAGGCTTCATCTAACTTGCTGTACTATAATTAAAGAACTAAATAAAATCTGAGGAGAGATGGAGGTGTACATTAGACAATTTAATTACTTCTTGGATCTTAGAATGACTGTTTTAATGTTGGGTTTCTATTTAGGGGAATGGAGGGCATCAGAGTGTAGGTACTTATTGTCTGACTGAACATTGAAGGAGGTGATCTCACGTACTCACGTACTCAACATGAATTTAAATGTGTTTGCAATCAGGCAGGCTCACTAACATTCAAACTGATACAAGCACATCCCTATGAGAAGCATTTTAACACACTGTAGCTGGAAATTTCTCCTTTGACCAGGATTTTGAGAAGCATTCTGTCTAGAAGTGAGAGTGACTCTGAGGACATGTGGGCAAGGGAGTACATATTCAATTTAACATCTTATTTAATGCCATGCCAAGCAAAATTGTTTGCCTCAGCTCAGGGAAATATGATGATGCCCAACCTCTCCCTGTCTCATGACTTCCAATTCAGACTCAGCAGTATGCAATCTTGCCAAACACAGCATAGATTCCCTATGCATGTCCTCCATTCTCTCAAAGAAGAAATTCATTGCAGAAATTTGTTGGTAAATGTAGGAGCTTCTTTGAGCAAGTCCAGGCAACACAGCAGCACAGCACGAGATCCACTCAAATCAGGCCCACTGGAACAGATTGCCCAGAAAGGTGGTGGATGTCCCATCCCTGGAGACACTCAAGGTCAGGTTGGACAGGGCTCTGAGCACCTGATCTAGTGTAGGTGCTTCCATTCATTGCAGGAAAGGTGAATGAGATGGCCTTCAGGGGTCCCCTCAAATGATTCTGTGATTCTATGATATTCAGATATTTTACTAGTTTGCTACAGTGATGTGAACAAAGTAAAAAGAGAGGGAAGAAATCATCTGATATCTCTGATATTTACAACCTGCTTAGGACTGATGATTTTAAACTAGAAAGATCATATAACTTCATTTAAAAACTTCAAGGCAGACTACAATTTGGAACTGAAGATGCTAAGCTGTGGCTCTTGGGGAAAACGAAGCAGAAATAGAAATACTTAATGGAGATAAGAAAGATAGGCTTTTCATCAGAGTTCATATTTTATTGTTAATTCTTCTTTTGATTTTTTTTTTTTTTTTAATGGGACAAGAGGAAAAATTCTCTAGACAAAGAGCTTCTGACCTAACAAACCTATTTTATCCCCATTTTAAAACAGGAGGCATTCCAGGCAGCAAATTGTTGAACCTTCACTTTTTAGTGCTTTTGGAAGCATACTAAAGGACAGAAAAGCTGAAAAAAGACAGCAGAAGAGGAGGAAGAGAAGGAGACTTGCATCCTTTATTCCCTTTGGTCCAGATGAGAGGGCAACCTCAAACAATCCATTCAAAGACAGATTCTTGGTTGGAGTGCTGAAGCTATCTGCGAAGCAACCATGTAGTACTAATAAATACATATTTATTTAAAACAAAACAAAACAAAAACAGGAACATAAAAATACAACCCTATATCAACCATTCCAGTTCAGTTCATGACCTTTGCAACTCTTTTCTACAATCAACAGAAGAAGAAGCTGGATGCACTAGCAAATATGAACTGAAATTGACATCTGAGTGATTGCATGCACAAGGAGAACAGGATCCTAAGGCAACTGTAGAGACTCAGATATTAGACTATTAATCTCCCTAAAAGACTGTCTGGTCTTTGCAGGTAGCACAAGTAAGCCCCCAGTCTTTTCCAGGCATGCTTGTTGTTTCCTCTGCAAATGAAGAAGCCCTTTCTTTGACTTCCAGCCAGTAAAATAATACTTTTTTCAGATAATGGGACAATTTACATAAGGAAAATACTCGAGCACCCTGGACCTGTCTAAATAGCATTCCAAGTACTCCCTTCTGCTCAACACCCACTTGCAGTTATTTCCAGTGTTGGTTCCATAGTATCTCAGGAAATGCTACTCGGGAAGATTGCGTTCCTCTCTCAGCCAGCTTTCACAGTTGTAACTAGATGGGGGCCAAATCCTAAGGCACAGGAATTATGAGAAATGATGTTTCAAATATGCATTCATCAGCTGTTGCCAAAATAACCACTAGCAGTAAATCCCCGCAAGGTTTTGTCTTTATTCCTCAAATATGGAAAGTGATTTATATGTGTACTGAGTAAGTACTGGCCATTGCAGCAGGACAGTCAACTCTCCATCAACCACTATGGGAAACCAGTAAGCCAGGACTCAGAACAGTGGTTTTCAGAGTCAGATATCATTTCTCTTTGAGCCCACACAAAACACAGTGCAAATTCCAATATGACAATTTGTAAGTACATAGTTTGGCAAAACAGGCCAAGTTGGTGACTAAGTAAATCCTGGACTAGTTCTCTCCATGGGTTTTACCATCTCATTATTTTTATGAGTTTAGACATGCCTGGTAGCTTTCTGCAGCTCTCCATGGATAATGATTTAGTCCAAACCAAAGTTGTTTTATTGCATTCAAGGTACGATACAGTTTCAGTAGGTCAGTCTTCACAATAACCTCCTCTTCACTGTGATACTGATCCAACTGCAATAAAGAGAGTTTGAGAGTCTTAAGTTCACTATGAAACCTTAAGAATAATTGGCAAAATCATTCTCTTTTGCTGGAAGCTTTCATTCTCAGGATGTCAAATGGGGGAAAAAAATTTCATTCTCATCCCTCAGTCCCTGCTCTTGAGCTCTGTCAGCAAATTCACGTTTTGGAGAGGTAGAGATCAATTCAAAGATCTATGCAAGTTTACTTCAGGACAGAATTTGCACTTTTTATCTACAAGCTTTTTAATACATGCATTTAAGTTCAGTGCCGTTAGCCTTCTTCATATTGTACCTTCCACCTTTCCAAAAATTTGGCTTACAGCACAGTAAGGTAGCCAGCCTGTGACGGATGCATCTTTGCCAACCAAGGCAACATGCTTTGCCATCAAGTGTAAATTTTTGTCCTCTTAAGAAAACCAGCTGCCTTTAATCTAAGACCCACATTTGTGTTCCTTTTTCATACCATTGGTCTGCTACATCTGTTTCAATGTTAATACAAAAATGGTGACAGCTATTGAGCTTGTTACAACTTGTGCAGCATCCTTCCAACTGCAAACTGCATAGGTGCCCCTTATGCAGCACATCACTGTGAACAGTTACTATGTTCACTGAAGTGGTCTGTCAGCTCCTACGGCTTAAGGCGGTAAGTCAGGTGAGGAAGATGTGCTTCCATGAAGAATGAGGATCCCAGGCTTTTTATTTCCACACATTGGAACACATTTAAATTAGAAATCTTCAATCAAAACAGTTATTCTGCAAAAGCCAAGCAGTAGGACATCAAGGTATAACATAACGCTTCCTGTCACAGCATTTTCCTTGCAGACCACAGCTCAAAGAAAAGAATCCATTGGTAGTAAACAGAAACAAATGCCAGCTAATTTCAAAATCTTCACTCTTGGTTTTCTCTCTGAAATGGTTTGGTTTTGAAGCATTCAAATTTAGTTTCCTCACACAAAACTCTAAAAGTCACCAAATGAGAAACATTTGACACTTCACCTGCCAGAGGTTGAACAGACATGGAAGCTTCTCATCATGTATTTGGGGGCAGAGGGGAAGCATAACTTGTAGTTAGTTTGGTAATTACTGACTGTCCTTCCCACCTCTGGCAGTCAGGACACCCTTGGTCAAAACCACACGCATCGTTTATCACCGCACAGCTCCCCACCTCTCCCCCTGCTGGTGCCACTCAGTCATCACTTCCAGGAAAGGGACCAATGGCTCTGGCTGTGCCACCCAGCTCAAATCCTGCTCCAACCCAAAGCATCTGCACCTGGTGCTCAGCCAGTCTTGTCTGGGTTGCCCAAGCACTGACCTAAGGAGAGAAGCAGATGAGTAGATGAGGAAGGGAAGAAGTTTATGTGGAAGGATTTTGCACTCCCTAGCTGAATCCTAGCTACATGATTTCAACTCTAATCACACGTATGCATCGCAATCACCCTAGAACAGTCACTTTGCTATTCTTAGTCATTTTGCTAACCAGTTCTGTTAAGACTTACATTTTCCACAAACAAATTGCCAACTCACTTGAGCAGCGGTTGAGCCGCACACGATGTGGACTGCAATGGACAGTTTTTCCCACAGCAGCTCAGACTTACACTGCTCTTCTGACTCACGTTGTCAGAAGTCAATACAAACCATACTTGCCTCAACTATCCTTCCCTTCTCCCTTACCCCAGAAATGCAAAGAGATGAAGGTCCAAGTGCAACAAGCAGAATTTCTGTGCAAAGCTATGGAGCTGTGCAATGCAAAGCAGTATGTGGGATGTGATCCAATAGTATCTGCCCAAGAAAATGTGGCAACCAGCCTTTGGATTGTGAGTGTCTTCAGGAATGGGCCAGGAGCAATGCTTGCCAGTGTGATCGCTGGAGGCTAGGAGCAAAGTTGTTTAAAACACGCATAGTCTCTCAAGGCTGAAATACAGAGCTGGAACAGTACCAAGTACAGATTACTCATACATTAGTGAAGAAGAGGATATAAAGTAATCATGACCTTAAATGACATTTATCTAGATTGGATTCAAAGCCCAGACAAAAATATTCCCATCTGTAACACTGCATGAAACACAGGGAAGACAACAGGCCTTCCCATCACACCTCTTCTTACTTTTTGCAGCAATAGAGTAACATGGATGTCTGTGTGTAAATTTGCTTTTTTTTTTTTTTTTTTTTAAATTCAAAAAATAGCATATCTTCAAAGTGTTTTATAAAAATGAATAGTGAAAATTACCCTACCATCAGAGCTACTACTTTTAGGTACAGAACTGAAGTTGAGGTATTCAACTCCTGATTTAAGACAAGTGCAAAAATGATCTAGTTACTGTAGGAGCTTTAAACAGAAATATGTTTGCACCATTATTTTTGAAGAAAAGAGTATTTTAGTTGGTTGATTCATTCATGTTTAGTTATTTTAAATGTGATGGCACAGCTTACTGTTATTTTTGGACATTAACTGAAATACGAAAAGAACAAAAAGCTGACTTGCTCTTGATTGGAAAGAACACATTTTTTGAAGGTAAAATAGAAAACATACATGGCTCTTCATCTCTAGTTGTCTGATCTTTCTCAATTTTCAAGTAAATCAAACCCTCCTGTGATTTCCACTTGTAATACTAGATCTCTAAAAGCCTGGCTGACGCCCCAGTAAGAGTCTGGAAGTGGCCAACTTGGAGTCAAACTGAGTTATCAGACTTGCATTAAATTACTAGAAAAATTAATTTTCTTTCACTTTTGACAGTCCTGTTTTTTATTGTGTTATTGTACTTAACTACCTTCTGCTGGTTGTGCTATAGTGAAAAGGAAGAACATTGAAAATTCAGAGTTTAGAACTTTCAGGTGCCATTTTCAAGTTTGCAAATGATGAGAAGGCGAAAATCCATTATTTGGCTTTTTTTTTTGTTTGTTTATACCAACTGTCATTTAAGAGTATGAGTCTGACGCATGGCTGATTGGTGAAGCCAACTTGTTAGGTAACAAGGCTCAAAAAGGACCCCCTCCTTAGATACCACAGACGACATTCAGAATTGCTGCTGATAAACTCAGTAGCCATGTTAGAGCTAACATGTCAAACTTTGCCAGTAGTTAATTCCCAGTTCACCTGGGTATCATTTGCAAAGTAACACAATACCTTATTGTAAAAGGAGACACAGCTAATAGGGACATTATGAGTGACTTCTTAATTTTACAACCTATTTTATTTTTCAAATTACTCCTCTTGCACAAGTACTGTACAGGGCAAGTGCATTTCAGAAGCCCAGATTTTGCTTGAAAGCATTCTAACAGCAAATCTTTGAGCACATCTGGGGGTTCTTAAGGAGCATAAATTCAATGATGTCACCTATTATTTAGCATCAGTAAAGTCATAAAAGAACAGAGCCAAAAAAAGAAAAACATTAATAATTTAAATGCCTCTACTCAAGTACTGCCAGGAAGTCAAACAGCAAGCTATGCCTCCCCTGAGTAGGTGCTCCTTTGTAAGAGAACACACAACTGCATCAACATATACATTTTACAGGGCTGGAGGCGAGAGAGAGTGCAGTTAGTACCCTATCTCCCTCCAGATTTTTTTCCATACAAATTATGAAAAACGTATTACATCAGGCTGCCTGTGGACTTGGTACTAAAACAGAATTTGTAAGACAGCACCAATACAGAATGAAACATTCAGCTGTCCCACAGTTCTAAGAGGTGCTAGGGTTTTTCAGTCATTTTGCTTTTTAATCCTACCTAAGCTGTTCTTTTGAAAGAAAGAGTGAACACAATCATGAGCCGAGCCACCCACTGACAAGGATGGTCAAGTGTACAAAAAAGCCTCTACACAGATTTTGCATAATCTGTGGAATCCATCAAAGGATATTGCAGTGGCTAAAAGTTTAGGTTCAAAAGGCAGCAGATTTGTCATTGAGTCTTCCCATTGAGGGCAATTAAATATGACACAACATCAGCTCAATAAATCAAGCTGATGGAAGATAGAAGGATATTCCAAGAAGTAATATAGTAATTACAGTTATTATCTCCTGTTATTGGTCAATATCAGAAAACAGACACTAAGTGTCCATGTGAACACTCTGAGCTCAGTTTGTGATTAAACCTTTTGTTTTCGCTCTTGGCCATACAATTTTCCAGATACTGTACATAAACTGAAGTGCACACCCTACCAACAATTTGTCTGCCCAGTCTTCAAGTCGTACTAAATTCCAGGTGCTGTCCCTAGTGCACTTCATACCCCTACAATATGTAAGTCATACAATCAATCACATTTAGAAACATCAGTGCAAGTACACATCATATTACATTTTACAGCTTTGTATCATTACAATTTCCAGGTATGAAGTATCATATACTCTTACATGGTGGCCTTAAGAAACTGCTTTAGGTAACTTAAGTTTCCAGTGCAGTAAATTTTATTGTAAAATTAATATGATATTTTATGCGATAAGTGTGTCTTCTTATCCACTCTGTCACATGCATGTGTAAACTTCTATCATTTTTATGTGATGCATCTTCTTACAATCGTAATCACTGTCTCTCCTACTCGACAGAAATGGAGAGATGCTTCCCTTTGTGAAAAATGCTTTTTTCCAAAGCATCTCTCTTCTTTGCAAATTCACATCTTTCCGAATATCATTATGCTGTTCTCTACCATAAGCCCATGCTCAGAGGTTTCTTCTGTTCCCAGCAGGACAGGTTATCCCTCATAACCATTACATTTGATCACAATACAGTGCTGTACAACCAACTGACAACACACATTTAATAAACAAAGAAAAACTTAAGACAAAATAATTCACAGGAAAAAATAAATGGTATTTTCTACCTCCTGTACTTCACTGCACTGTTGGTACTTTTGTCGCTGACATCCATAGTAACATTGCACAGCAGCAGGGTTTCTAAAATTCTATCATCTGGATGACCTTTTGATTTTTTTCCCCCAACAGTTGCAATGCTGAGACATTTTAAGCAAATAGAATAATATTAATGGGAATAACTAACTAACTAACTAAATATTAGTAGGAGAAAGTTTAATTTAAACAAAGTTCTACTTAGGCATAGAAGAAAAAAACACAATTTAGTGCCCAAAACTCCTCAGGGCAAATTTGTAACCATTTATTTCAGATATATATTAATGGCATTCTTCTAAACTGTATTTTTTTCTATTCATTAGTTCTAATGAGATCCACAAAATCTTCAATTACTTATAAGAGAAATTAATCCTCTAGCATGTATGGAATCATTTAAAAATACACAAAAGAGATCAGTATACAACATTTCTTCAATTTTAGATACATTAATACCTTCTTTAATCAACGGGTATGTTTACAGACTTCTTCAGAATTAAAAGCATTTAGACTAATGAGTCTCAGCTCTAAGCACTCTGCAGAAGTGATTTTGTTATTTTTAAAAAGAAGTACTGAAGGTATCTACAAAAAAAAAAGCCATGATTGTGCTTCTATTTAAGAGATTGCCTAATGCCAAAACAACAACAACAACAACAAAAAAACCAACCCCACAGAGCTCTTAAATGAAGCATTTCTTAGCTATATATTCAAGGTGCTGCTTTTCCAACAACAGTACAGAACTATTTGGGGGCAGAAGGAAAGGGCTAATGTTACTCTAGTTACTCCAAAACTAGCCACTAGATTTATGTGACCTTTCTGAAAATTAAGTTGATAGGAGGTGACTGTAGTAGATTCAATAGACGTTGTCAGTTAGAAGAACATGGACAAAAGTAAGGTCTGAGTAAAAACAAAGATCAGTTACTTGATTTTATGCTTTTTTCCTTTCCTGAAATTGTTCGGTTTTGTTTCTGACAGATTTTACTAGCACAAAAGTGAAGATAGTTTATTGTTAAGCATTCAAAAGATGTGTGTTGTTGCAGATGGGGATGAATCAAGACCCAGTATCAATGCTCTTTTCCATTGAGGAAGGGGAGAATTAAGAAAGAATTTAAAAATATATATTAGTTTCTTACTATGGTCTTATGCAGCTGAAGTTGTAATTACTCTCAGCACTAAACACTTTGCATCACAGTGAAATTAATCTGGTTTCAGAACTCACAAGTGCATCTTTAATCTTTTTAAACATACTCTTGACATGGTTCCTCTCCTCAAACACATTCTGGATGTCAATCCCTTCCTCCATTTGCAGACATAAGACACGGAATATCTTGAGTTGGAAGCTATCACATTAATGAGCAATTACACTACAACTCATCTTCAAGCAGTTTAAGCTAAAAGAAAAACATTTTTTCTTATGTGAGCCTTTCCTGAGACTCCACAGAAACAGACACACTAAGACTGAAAGGGGCCAAGTCAA